TTTCACTAGGATATCACTATTTGGGCTTGAAAGCCCACCCTGCCCAGCCCATTATTGCCCAACCCAAAATAGTTAGGGCTTCTATAGATAAGGCAGGGCAGTGGACTGCAAAACATCTTTTGGACTAGGTATCGGGCGGGGCATGCTGTAACACCTCCTTTATTACCCTATTATATGACAATTGGAATCCTTTAGGATCATTACAAAGGCCTTGAGTATGAAAATTTTTAATTCTGGAATTTTTATTTTTGAATTACCCTTCATTGTTCACAGTATTTTTGGCTAATTTTGAAAATTCATAACTAAATGTAAAAAAATTGAAATGAGGTGGTTCTAATTTGTGTTTGAAGCTTGTCAAGCATTCTATAGGGGGAAAAAAATACTCATTGGCATTAAATCATCATGAAACAAAGCCAAAAAATTCACTAACTTGCACTGTTCATATGGTCAATTTTTAATTTTTCAGTATTTTAGCCCAACTTTGGAAGGACATATCTCTTAGCACAAAACTTCAATTTTAGTGATCTATGGCTTGTTTGAAAGCTAAAAATGAGATCTATAAGCTTGCCAAATTTCAGATCCAAATTCGTCCAATTTCTCATTATTTTATGTAACAAAAAATTGCCTCTTTTTAAGTTATGTTTATCCCCTAAACTAATTTTCTTGAATTTTCTTTTCTCCTTTCTATATACCATTTACTCAAACTTATCAAACCATGATTATACACAACCATTCAACACTATAAATTACATAATGCCAAATTATAGCGTATCTTTACCTGTTACAAACTTATGTCAAAGTTTATCAACATACAACATAAACTTTATACATCGTCACAAAATTTCCATGACCTGCTCAGCTCAACACTATTTCCTTGCCCTTGTCCATGGTTGATCCACTCCCTATTTATGCACAATTTAACATAGGGGGAAATGAGATTTCATGAAAATCTCAGTAGCAATGAACTATAATCATCATGTTAATTAAGCAATGCATAATGTGCTATGTCATATAACTTTAAGGCATCCTCAAATCACACAAAATTATGCTATGTATCATGTTAAGAGGAGCAACAATCACACTTTTACATTGACATATCACAATGCATTTGGCCAAAGCATATCAAATGGCATAAAATCAACAATTGCCACAACATAATTTCTCAATTCAAGCAATCAACATAAACACACTAAACAAGCAAGATAAACAATCAAATTATAATTTAATGCTACCTCTTAACCCTTGATGTAATTCATCCTCCTTAAGGGAATTATGCTCTCCTTGAATTTCCTCCACAAAACCTATCAATTCAAGTGTAATTGCAAGCCACGTTAACAATTATTCAACTTGAATACAACACTTAGCCCTAAGCCTACATAATTCCCCCTTTTTCTTTAATTTTTAACATAATTATTCCTCCTTTGATTTCAATAACCTCTTAACTCATTTCTACACAACTTTTCATGTAGAATTCAAATATCCAATCAGATTTATGAAAATCAAACTTCTTCCCTTTCAATCTCTCTTGGCCAAATAGGGGGCATCCATGTTCTAAAAATTCTATTTTTTTGATTCCAATGATTTTAAATACTTTGCTTTAGTGTTTTCTTACACAAAAACACATTTTAAACTCATTGGAATCATCAAATCAAGTTAAAACAAACTCTTGCCCCAACATTTTCACTTGGCCGAATTGCTGCATAAGAAAACCTAAGTTGGTTTTCTTCCAAAAATCAATCCAAATACCACTTAAACATGCTTATTCCACTTTATATTTAAGGTTTCTATCCTTTCCTAAAGTCCAAGCATGCTGGCTAAATTTAAACAGCATTTCCCCCTTAAATTTCAATTCAAATACCTAACCAAAACAAGCTTTAATCTTAACCATAATAAAGCTTAGACATACCTTGGTGAATTCTTGACTAAAGCTTAATGATTTCCTATCCAAATGCACTTATCTAATTCAGTTTTAGCTCAAGAAAACTTTTGGCAGCACCTCCCCTTGTTTTACCAATTTTCTACCTATTTTTGGGTATTTTGGGGGTATTTATAGACCAACAAATCTGTCACCTCCCCCTCATTTCGACGTATAAGAGTGCCGCCAAAGAGGGGCACTTGGTTGCCATCAAGATTTGAAAAGGTTCAAATCATGCCAAGTGTTCAAGTCCTAGAATATTCCAATATATTTGTATGAAAATTGGATTAAATTCCAATTTAATTAAGGGTCCAGATTTTGCATGAAATGGGGCCTTTTCCTCGCCCGATGTGGGAACCACTTATGGTTTAGGATGGGCCACAAACAAAATCACAATCCCAAACTACTTTGAAGTTTTATCAGTTACTATTCACTTGTAATATTTCATAATTTTTCTAGACCTCTGAAAATACATTTCTCTCCATGAAAAATCCTCTTTTTTCACATAAGGATATAATTTGAAAATTTTTAGAATTTTGTTTCCACCTCTAACTATTTATTTTGAATTTTTCTTGATTAGGCCTCTATCAGTAAAACTGTGGGAGAATAAATTCTCCAAAATTAATTCCTGTATTTTCAAGGCCTAAAACTAATTTTATAAATTCTCATAAATATTTAGATAATTAATTCATATTTTTTCTGAAATTATTGAGACCTCTCACTATTTAAAATAATTATTTTCTTCAATTTTTCACTGTTTTCTTGAAAAATCTCCACATTCGAGAAATTTGTAATAATTTCTTTTTGCACCAATTTCATTTTTAGGGCCTTCATCAAGGTTCCAAAATCTATAATTTACCTTTTTACTATTTTCTGAAAATTTTCTATAATTTTTTCCAAATTTTTCTGTTTTGTCCTTCCTAAACCAATAATTCTGAAAATGCCAGCCCGGACCCTATTGTGGTTTCACATCAAAAGTTATTTTATCCCTTTGTCTACTTTTTATATTGGCCTTCATTTGAATTTTTAAATTCTTATGTCCAGATAAAATTTTCAGGATGTGACACATGTCCTACCTAGCCCTACCCATGAATACCCTTATATCCAAGCCAAAAATCCAAAATTGAGAATATTAAATTGTTGGAAAATTGAAATTATTAATTACAATTGGAAATTTTTGGCATGTTCAATTGATATCGCATTACCTTTTCAAGTATTTAAAAAGGGTGTTAGGGAAAGAAAAATGCATATGGAAAAAGAAAAAGCTTCTTTTTAGACTAGTTAAGGTAATCGATCAAGAAGAAAGTCTTAAACTTTCTAAACTAGTTCCAAATTTAGTCTAATTGGTCATTTCTATCCAATTTAGGGTCCATTTGGCGGTAGCAAAGATAACTTATTTTCCGTATAACTTTTAGAAAAGTTAGATTTGATAAAAGTTACGTTAGACAATGTGATTTATGTTTGGAACCTTACATAAAAGTTAGTTTGTAAAGTATAAAAATTGTTCAGATTATGATTAATAAGTAAATTCGTTTGTATAATGATCAAAATGGGTATAACAACTATTAAATAATGAAAAATAATTTAAAATATGAATTTACAAAATATAATAATTTTAAATTATTATGATAGTATGAAGTTAGATTTAATGAATAAAATATATCTAAATTAGAAATCATAATAATGTGAAAATTTTTGAACTAAATAATATTACATAATTAATTAGATGATATACTTTGCACAATTTACATAAATATAAAATGAAAAATAACATTAAAAATTAAGAATATTATAAAAACTGTTAAAAATTATTTTCACTTAAAGAGAATATTAAAAGTGAATGACTAAAAATTGATTGGGAAGCATAAGAAATATGTAGAGACAAGCATAAGAATAACATAAAAATAAGGCCAAAAATGTCTTTTGATTCCAAAAAGATATTTTTGCATGAGTTATAAGAAAGTTTTATGTGTTTTTGTAATTGTGTCTAAAAAAGTAGCTTTTGGCCTATAAGTCAGATTAGCCAAAATCTGTTCTAAACAGCTTCCAAATTTGGAAACTGACTTATTACACCTATAAACTACTTTTTAGTTGTTGAAATGCTCGATCAAATAGGGACCTAAACGATTACTTCTACTTATAACATTTTCAAAATTTGTTATAAAATATAGAGTAAAATATTCTAACCACTATTTTGTTTTGCAATTTTGCTTTAATTACATAGACACTCTAATCCAAGTCATTAACACTGTTAAAAAACTATTTTGAAAAGATTTAATTACAATTTTTCACTTGCACTCTCCCTCCATCACATATTATTCCGCTTTTACAATCCTCTTTATTCTAATTATTGTATTATTTTCTTATACCATCTATCTCCTCATAAATAAGGATACTTGTTTTTTTTAAAAAGAAAATGTTACTCTTTTAACCAAATTTTACCAATTTTTTTGATCACCATGATTTGATAGGATGTTTCTTAAATTTCTCAAAATTACATGAATTTTTTTATTTTTAAATCTGAAATAAATTTCTTATAAAATAAAAAAAATTATACAAATTTTCTTTGAATTTTTAAAATCGTGTATATGATAAATTATATAATAATCTAAATTTTAATAAAATTATATAATTTTTATTTTCAATTAAAGTCTGTGAAGGTTTTAAAAAGAAACTTTTAATTTTTTATAACGAAAATAAAAATTTAATTTTTATATGAATTAACAATGTTTGCATATTTATTAAATTGATTTTTACGCAGATTGTAAACTTTAAGAGAAATCAAATTTAATTTAGTGAAATTTGTTAATTTGAATTAATTTTAAAAACAAAATACAGGAAAAAAAATATAGGAGAAAATGTCAGAAGTTTGGATAGGGATAATATGGTATTTTAAATTTACATTTAAATATTTCTTTTTTAAAAAATAATTTTAACTGGTTTTTTTTTCTAATTCTCCCTAAAAATAAATAAACTATAGGGGGGGGGGGGGGAACATAGTTGTTTTCCAGTTACATTATTATCCGTTAGTTATTAATGCCCTCTTGCCCAGTTAGCTCTCGGCGTTGCTGCGTTGTCTCTCTTCCTCACGCCTCAAAAGCCAGCCCAAACCAAACGCGCTCAAACTCATCTCTTTCTATCATTATTCTCTCTAGCAATCATCCTATATCCACTGTGCAGTCCCTAGAGAGGGAAAGGAGGGACGAAAGGTATTTTCCATTTCTGTCTTGTAATTCTATAATTTTTGGTTATGCTCTAGGGCTGTTTTCAGTTCCCCAAGCGGTTATTTCTTTTCTCTTTTCATTCCATTCCTTTTTTCCCGTTTTCCACCACATTGTTCTTCGTTTTTCTTTCATATTTTGGTTTGTTCATTTACTGCCTGAATGTCTTTAAGCTAAAGTTGGTTTCTTCAATCGGCGTGCCTGTGCGTGTGGCTTTGGAATCTTTTTTATACTTGGACGGCTTTTTTTTTTTTTGGCCAGCAATCTGTTTCCTTGTTGTGGTTTCGTCTATAGTTTGTTTTCAATTTTCTGTTTTCCCTGTTGATGGATGGCTGACAACCTTCTCATCGTCATCATTTGCGATAACTATTTATGACGTTTTTCTGCATTTAATTAGTCATCTGGGTTGTAAATGTCTGACGAGAAAATTCATCTTTTGACAGATTTTTTCTGTAAGAAGGTTTTTATGTTGTGAAGTTCAACTTTTTTCAATTCCTTTGTCCTCTATCTCTATCTGGAATTCTTTGAATGACGAATGATGTTAGTCAATGTAGGATTTTGAGTTAGTCTATGCATATCTCATTGTGCATTCTAGTATGATTTATGGTGGATGGTGAGTTGGAGTTGATATCTTTCAAGCACGGTCGAGGGTCTCATAAATGGAAAAACCCACACTGGGGATCTATTTCCTATTTGCGCCTGACAATGTTTAAATATGGATTAGTTGATAATATCAGATTGCACAAGATAATTGCATTCTGGTATGAACTTTTTGGGGCATTAGACCCTCCCTACCTTTTCAATTCTACATTTAGACACTTTGAAAGTTATAACATAACCTTAACATGGGATGACGGACATGGAATTCATAAAGGGACGTGTGTTCTTTGTAAACATTACAATCTTTATTATGTATGTGGTAGAACAAGTGAAGGGCGTGAACTGTGTAGATCATCCTTTTTTAAAAGTCAAAGCCATCTCAAGCATGCAGTTTTTAGGCCGTGTTTGTTCCTATTATGACTCATCTTCTAAATATTATATATAGCAGACAATCTTCATCATTAAATATTACATTTATGAAGCAATTATGATTAAGGAGTAGATACTTCATAGAGTGTAACCCTTTTCTTATTGTTAGTGGATGTATTATTCTTGATGAATTTTCAGTTCTCTAGTGAGTCTCCAAGATTGATTGGTTATTTATTTATAATTCAATGGCATTTATGCATCTTGTTGCCTGTTTGTTTGCTCTCAGCCTTCTGTAGGCACATGCTTCTCTTCCTTGTGACCTTGTTTGCCTTGGGAATACAATTTCTAAAGACAAATTACATTTGAGGAAGAGGACAAGGATGCGTCGGTGGCTTTGTTGTAGTCGTCACGTGGAAGACTCATACCCACCACATGAAAGTGAGCACCTAAAGAGCCCTTATGGCGAAGGTATGTTTCTGTAGACCTCACTGTGTAACTACTTTAACAGTTTATGTGGTGGAAGGAATGGAAAAATGGAGGGTAATTCCAGAACAGAACGGCTAATGGCTTTTGCCTATCAAAGCGTTTCAATTCTATTAGTTGTATATGCTACACTTGATTAAGGGTAGTTGTATATGTTTGTAAAACAAAGATGTGGTAGCATGGACATAAATAATTCTTTAGAGCTTGTACAGTACCTTTAACTCAATGATATTGACTTTTGAGTAATAGTATTTTTCCCCCCCCAAGATAGCAGTGTTGCCACTCTATTATCATTTACCGTAATTACCCTTATTTACAAATTCAGATTTGTTCATGCCCTTTTCGATAATTTGACAGTTACAGGCACTTGTTGCTCTGAAAGATACATCAAACACAAACTGTGTCTCAAACATTGATAACAGCACTTGTTAAATGATTCTAACAAGCACATATTGCGGTCTCTCACGGCACTTTATTTTGAAGTTTCTTTTGAAAAGTTGTTCTAAAATAATTAGCAATCATGTAGGATATCATTCTTTTGTTTGGATGAGTTTTTTCCCCCTTAATATCACATTATTTTGAATTGAATTTTCTGATATTGCTTATTGCTCTTAAAAGAAGTCATGTTCAATAGAATATTAAATTAAAAAGTATCCTGGATTCTTTTAGCATTTAGGTTTTTCTTCTCTTCTAATCCCCTTACCTTCTTCACTGAATTATATACATCACTGGTCAGTCCAAGTCTTTTTTGTCTGCAGAGCTCAGTATCTGTTGAAATAATATGTGCATAACAGCTCTGATTTTCATTGATATTGGGGAGATTACATATTTTTACATATTTAGAGGAATAGAGAGAATAAGATCTGATCTAGGGAAACAAGCGTCCCATGCTGTGGTGATTGATTCACAGCATGGTTTCCTCCATGCGTCTTAGAACAATGTCCTGGTGAGCCTCCTTGGGACGATGGTGGATGATTGTTTCCACCATCGACATTGAAGACCCGTGACTGGTTTGTTAGAGCTTCCTTGAATGACATTGTTGAGCCAGTATCCTAAGCTCTGATTCCGTGAAATAATATGTGCATAACAGCTCTAATTTTTATTGATATGTGGAAGACTACATATATAGAGGAATAGAGGGAACCAGCTCTGATCTAATCCCCTGGGAAGCTCCTATAATCCTGGACACAGTAAACTGGAATAATGAGCAATAGATGACCGTATGATTTAGGAGATAATGATCATATTAGAAAAAGCAGCAGGCTCAGTACCAACATCTATGATAGCAGGCTTTTTTCCTTGTAAAGATTCATCACATATTTTATGCATTTTAGATGACCAAAGAGACTCAAGAATGTCAGCTCCCGTCAAACATGAAGCACCAAAGTCTGCACCACCACCTATTGAAGTGCCAGCATTATCTTTAGAGGAGCTAAAGGAAAAGACTGACAACTTTGGGTCAAAGGCTTTGATTGGGGAAGGATCTTATGGAAGAGTGTATTATGGAACCTTAAATAATGGAAAAGCTGTTGCTGTCAAAAAGCTTGATGTTTCTTCTGATGACCAATCAAATGTTGATTTTTTGACCCAGGTATAAGTTACCATTAATGATTTTTCCCCTTTTAATGGCTTCGTTATGATTATTGTAAGTTTGTTATTGTTAGCCTTCATATCTAATGTTCCTTATTATAGGTTTCCATGGTATCAAGATTGAGGCACGAGAATTTTGTTGAGTTGCATGGTTACTGTGTTGAGGGAAATATGCGTGTATTGGCATATGAGTTTGCAACTATGGGCTCACTTCATGACATATTGCATGGTATGTATCATTTGTCATCTCATAATGAGTATTTGTTAGCATCATAGATTTATTATATTTTTATCATCCAGTTGAGTCTCACCATTTAAGTTTTAATTGATTGAAATATATGATTTACGTAGTTTATAGGGTTCCTGTAATATAGCTAGTGCTTGGTAGTAAGCTTCATTTATTTGGATAGCCACTTCACATAGGCATGTGTATTATTATGGCCTTCTTTGAAATTTACATCTATTTGTTGTTGTCAAACTTTAAACTTTCTACGTGGTATTAGAGCCTTGAGGCCTAATCTTACCAAAGGTCCAAAATGTAACCAACGGAAAACATAGACCCGTGGTGGTTTTGATTGAGCCTTGGCTGGTTTTGGGACGCCAAAAATAAGTGGAGAAATAACTATCAGATATGTATTGATTTTATCCAGCTTACTTTGCACTTTGTTGTCTATCAGCAAGCTTTCTAACGATCTCATTCTTGTTGCTAAATTTTAATTTATTGATTGTCTATTTTGGGTTTTGGATGAGTTAAGGGAATTATCAATGATAAAGTATGAAGCTGAAATTGTGGACTAAATGGTTCATGTTGCTAATACTACTCCTTAGTAAAACCGTGTCTATGGCATTAAGGGCGTGTTTTAATTTGCATATTAATTTTAGTAATTAGTCAGAATCTTTAAAGCTTGTTACCTTACTTATATATGATAAAAATATTTTTATATGCATTTTAAAGGATAATTTTATTAATTTTAATACATTATCTCATTAATTTTAATATGCCTTTTAAAATATTTTACCCCGCTAAAATATGACCCTCCATTCATTATTATTGGTAGTTTCCAAAATCTAAAGTTTTTTGTTACATGTATCCAAAATTATGTTTTATAATTATACTTGTGAAATATAAATGAATGTTTGTTCTTGTTTTGATAAAATATTTTTATCAAATGTATATATATTTGAAATAAAATAATAGGATAAAATAATCTATATTTTATCAACCAAAAAATCTACACCTCCTGCGCATATATGAACTAGTAAGCATCATAAGTCGTGACCAGATCTTTGCAACAAACGGTAGAAGTTTTCCAAAGCATCATCAGTGGGCAATTGATATTGACTAACAGCACAATTGTTCCGAGTTCCCAACCATGGGATACAACTGATTACAATGAGAGGCAACGATGGTTGTAGGACCAATTGCTGGAGGTGACGAAGAGGCGACCCAACATAGACACACGAAACTGAGCTGCTAGAGAAAAACGATAAAAAGTGTTTTAACTCGAGGTTAACACTGGGATATGCAAAAAGTATTATGGGTCATTTTGTCATGATTGAGAAATAATTGCTCTCCCCTCCATAAAAACCGCAATTTCTTTTTTTTTTTTTTTTTGGGGGGGGGTATAGGAGGGGAGGGGAGCAGAAAAAGACAGATTCTCCCCTCCTCTCACCTCCATTATTTTGAAACAAATAGCCTTACCATCTCCTTTCCCCTCCCCTCTCCTCAAAAAACTCCCAACCAAACACTGTATAAGTACCATAAATTAGGGTACCCAACTTTCTTTTCTGCCTTTCTTTTCTTTTCTTAATCTTTATCTTTTGGATGACTAGGGCACTCCAACCTGTTCATGAAATGAGTATATTCAAGATTATGCGAAAACAAGTACTATTCTTTTCCAGTGTGAAGTATGCCAACTTGCCAAGCATACCGAACTTTCTACCATATGCACAATGGCACACCCTTTCCCTTCAATTTACTTTACTTTATATGGGACTAGATGTTTCATTACCTTTGATAATAATACAAGATTTTCAGGCTTGGTTTACCTCATGCGAGAGAAGCAAAGACCGCAAAGATTTTCAAGCAATTCACTACCCTTGTTCTGAAACAGTTTTAAACTACTTGGTTGTGCCTTTCGATGACATTGTTATGAGATGATGTTAACATTTCTTCTTTGATTGTGTCTTTTGATGACATTGTTATGACAATTGATTAAATTGATGAAATAAGAAGACTAAAGTATGTTCTGGGTTGGGATTTGGAACTAAAGATTTGGGGGGAGGTATTTTTTGGGGATGGAGGCTGGTACATTTCTGTAATCAGAAACACAGAAAGAGGGAGAAAGAGAGAATTAAGAAGAATAGGAGAGAGTAGAAGGATAGGAGAGAACAGAGAGGTAGGAGAAAACGAGGAACAAAGAGAGATGGGGATAATCCCGACTTCATTAACAATGCACATTACAAATGATTTAGTCCTGAACTATCCTGTTATAGAAGGAAAACGGAAAAGAGAAATATAACTAACTATCTGTCACTAACATACGGAACCTAAGAGTCCTTGTCTAATGACCCATCTACCCTTACTTAAGTTACACATATTATGATTACATAACAATGCCCCCCCTTCAAAAGATCCTTGCCCTCAAGGATCTTAAATTACAAAGTTAGGAAACTGCTGTTGAAATTGAAAGGGGCACCCAGGATGCTTCTTCATTAGGTTTCTCCTTCCACTGGACTAGAACCTCAGTAAGTGGTCGCTGTCTCCGTCTGCCCACCCTTTTATTTAAAATTTGCTCAGGTTCCTGAACTGTAGGGAGTTCAGGGAAATCGGTTGGTGGGTGCCTAGGCTTGTCTGTGGGGTCAGGACAGAGCTTAAGTAGGGAAACATGGAAAACAGAATGTATTCTGGTGTTTGGAGGGAGATTCAGCTTGTAGGCCACCTTCCCAACCCTCTCTAAGACCTGATAAGGTCCAAAATACCTGGGTGCTAATTTTTGGGAGCTCCTAGAGGCTGTAGAAATTTGTCTGTAGGGTTGCAATTTTAAGAAAATCCACTGTCCTATAGCAAATTCTCTGTCAATCCTATGAGAGTCAGCCTTCTGCTTCATGAGCCTGATGTAGGTGGTGTTTAAGAATAGAAATCATCTCTTCCCTAGCAGAAAAACTTCGGTTAACTGCTTCAAGAACAGAATTATGAGGCAGGTAGGGGGAGTGAATTGGGGGCTTCTGACCGTATAGCAATTCATAAGGAGAAGCCTTCATAGAAGAGTGGAAGTTGGTGTTATACCACCACCCAACCTGAGATAACCAACGGCTCCAATCCTTGGGTTTCTCCCAAGTCATACATCTCAAGTAGGTCTCCAAACAGCGATTAAGAACTTCAGACTGACCATCAGTTTGAGGATGGTAAGAGGAAGATAATTTCTGGTCTACCCCCATCACTCTTAGAAACTTCTTCCAAAAATTGCTTACAAAGATAGGGTCCCGATCACTAATGATTTTTGCTGGAGCTCCATGTAATTTAAACACATGGTCCATGAATAATTGAGCCAGGGTAGATGCAGAATAAGGATGAGAGAGGGGGATAAAATGAGCATATTTACTCATTCTATCAATAATGACCCATATCGCATCCTTCCCATGAGATTTAGGAAGCCTATCAATGAAGTCCATTGCAATACTTTGCCAAATCCTACTAGGAATAGGCAATGGCTGTAATAATCCGGGAGAAGCAGTAGTCTCATACTTACACGGTGCACAAGTGTCACACTGTTTAATAAAATCTGTAATATCATGGATCATTTTCTTCCACCAAAAGAGGCTTTTAACTCGTTCGTAGGTAGCTTGAATACCAAAACGTCCTCCTTGTGGACTAGTATGCATCCATTCAAGAATTTGTTGTTGTAGAGCCGGATCTGCCCTTATAACCAGCTTGCCTTTCCTCCTTAATAAGTCACCATCCCGTGAAAAATGACTCCAATGGCCATCTTGATGTTGAACCCTTTGTTTAATGGTTGAAACAACATCATCTTGATCCCAACTAGCTTTAATTTTATTCAGAAGTTCAGGGGAAGAAGTGTCAAATGCCATTTGCAATAATTGGTGTCTTGGCATTCTAGAAAGAGCATCTGTTGCTGTGTTATCATTCCCCTTTTTGTAATGGATTTTGTAGTCAAATCCAGCAAGTTTAGCTACCCAAAATCGTTGGAAAGGGGTGTTGAGTTGCTGACCGAGTAAACATTTGAGGCTTTGTTGGTCAGTCTTAATAATAAACCTTCTCCTTTCCAAGTATTGGTGCCATTGTAGGACAGCCATGACTACTGCCATTAATTCCTTCTCATAGACCGAAGGGTTTTGGTGTTTTAGGGACAAAACCCTTACTGAAATAAGCAAGAGGCTGACCTTGCTGCATGAGCATCGCCCCAATGCCTAAGCCACATGCATCAGCTTCTACCACAAAATCCTTACAAAAATCAGGCAGAGCAAGCACTGGAGCGGAAGTGAGATTATCTTTGGGTTGCTGGAAAGCTTGACTACATTCGGATGACCACAGGAACCCATTCTTTTTTAATAAGTTCTTGAGGGGCTAGCAATGGTGTCATAGTCTTTTATAAACCGCCTGTAATATCCTGCCAACCTGAGGAACCCTCTTAATTGCTTCACATTTGTAGGTTCAGGCCACTCCTTTATTGCTTGAATCTTTTTAGGATCAATGGAAACTACTCCCTGGACAATGATATGTCCCAAGTACTCCACTTATGTGGCAGCAAACGTGCACTTATCCTCCTTTACGTAATATTGATTATCCCTTAAGATTTGTAGCACTACCTTCAAGTGAGATTTGTGATCTGCAAGGGTAGAACTATATATCAGTATATCATCAAAAAATACCAAGACAAATTTACGTAAGTAGGGTCTAAAAATGGTGTTCATAGCCCCTTGAAATGCGGCAGGAGCATTTGTTAAGCCAAATGGCATAACTAGCCACTCATAGTGCCCTGAATGAGTTTTAAATGCTGTCTTGTACACATCTTGTGGTTCTATTCTGATTTGGTGATAGCCAGCCCTAAGATCAAGCTTAGTGAACCACCTTGCTGTACTAAGCTCATCAAATAAGTCTTCTACAAGAGGAATTGGGTACTGGTTCTTCACAGTTCGCTTGTTTAGGGCCCGGTAGTCGATGCACAGGCGCCATGATTCATCCTTTTTTTTAACCAGCACTATAGGTGCTAAAAAGGGAGAGGAGCTGTCCTGTACAACTCCCATTGGTAGTAACTCATTCACTAACTGCTCGATAACATCCTTCTGTGCTGACGGGTACCTAGAAGGTTTTATACTAATGGGGTCAATGCCTTCTTGTAGGATAATAGGATGGTTATGACCCTCTCTTAGTGGCAGCAGGGTCTTGGGTTCACGAAAAACATCCTGAAAATCACCCAGAACACTTTTAATAGAAACAGAGGAACTATCATCAACATCAGAAATAGAAAAACATTCGAACTCCTTGTCTCGTATTTGAATTAATTGAAGAAGGAATCTGAAGGACTCTATCTCCCTCAGCCAAGTTTCCAGCCACAACTCCCATTCCTTGCAGGGGAATCCCAGGATCCTAACCAAGAAGACCCTGATCCAGAACTCGAAGACTACTACTACTCAAGAAGCTCAAGGAGACACCAGTCTTTCCATCGGAGTAACTGGCTGTCTGGCAAGGTCTTTCCCTTGGGATCAAGCATTCTTGGAAAAGACGTATTGTCCATTTCTACTCTGAATTGATAAGGACTGAGATGGAAGCTGAACTTCTCGATTCCTCGCACTTCAGCTTTTTCTATAGGAACAACCTTCCAAGGGTTTGGAGGGCTAGCTTGTAGTTTGTAGATCTGTCTATTCTTCCAAAAGTACATAATCATCCTTTCATAATCCCAAAAAGCGTTCCTGATGCTCTTTAACCATTTGACTCCTAAGACCATATCATAAGTGTTGAGGTCGAGGATTCTGAAGTCAAATGTAAATTCTAGCCCCTACATTCGCCATTTGAATCCTCTCCAGATGCCATGAACCTTGAGTTTCTTTCCCCCAGCAACCTGTACACTGGCATAATACGCAGAATCAGATTTCCAACCTACATGTTGAGCAAAAGACAAATCTAGGAAGTCATGAGTACTCCCGTTATCTATTAGTATCTGTATAGGCTTCTTCTCGACATGGCCTTGAAGTCGCATGGAATCCACATCGTCAATTCCACTTATAGCATGTGGTGAAATCCTCAGAATCTCCTCTTCTTCATCATCCCCGTTGTCCAATTCTTGGTCAACTATAGGGTCTGTCTCGGTTCCAGTTTCAATGAAATGCAGCTGGAGGCGTTGACGTTGGGGACACTTGTGGTCTTTGGAAAACTTCCCGTGACAATAGAAGCACAAGTTCCTTTGTCTATGGTCAGCTTCTTCCTCGGCAGTCAGCATTTTGGGGGGTGTCGAGGTGTTTTTAATATTGAAAGATTGAGGCTTGGTAGCGGTTAGGGCATTCTTGTCTTTAGTTTGGGACCCAGCAATTGCCAGCGCTTCTCGGTTAGGTGTCGATGTGTAGCGATTAGGTGGTACCACCGAGTTGAGGGGCGTTATAGACTTGACACCTCGATCAAGATACGGTTTCTTCCCCTGCTGGCGCTCCAAGGTCATTTCTTGCATTCTGGCAAGACTTTTGGCTTTACTCAGGGTGTGTGGCTTGAACATACGCGGAGGCTTGCCAATTCTTCCTTGATAAGGTTGAGATACGCGTCTACTAGTTTCTCTTCATTCAGGCCCACTTTGATCGAAACCAAGTCAAAGTCTTCGTTGAATTCGGCAAGTGTCCCCAGATGTTTTAGTTTCAGCAAATCGCCTATCGGAGATTCATAAGATGGCCAAAGCAATCCTTGACAAGTTGGACATATTCCTCCCAAGGTGGCGTGTTTCCATTCCATCGCTTCTCGTATGCCAAATGCCATTGAAATGCGCGGTCGTCGAGATGTAAACTAGCAATCTTGACCTTGGCATCGGCAAGGGTTTCGTCCAACTCAAAAAACCGTTCACACTTCAAGATCCACGACAGAACGTCGCCACGTGAAAATCTTGGGAACTCCATCTTGGTGAACTGGGTTGCTCGTTGTCGTCCGTTCCCATTTTCGTGTGCGCAATGCTTTGTGTGCTAGTTATCCGAGTTTTGCAGTGTTGTTGTCACCTCTTCTAAATTCCGTGCCGTCGTCTGGAGTTATGTTGACATATGAAAGACTGATTCTTGCAGAGCAGTGACAGTGCCTAATTGCCATTCCACGACCTGGAGTCTCTCATCCATAGCCTTCGATCAAGTTTGAACCATAAACTATCAGGTACACCGCATGGTCCGAGAAACAGTGGCTCTGATGCCACTTGGTACGTTTTTGTAATCAGAAATGCAGAAAGAGGGAGAAAAAGAGAATTAAGAAGAATAGGAGAGAGTAGAAGGATAGGAGAGAACAGAGAGGTAGGAGAAAACGAGGAACAGAGAGAGATGAGGATAATCCTGACTTCATTAACAATGCACATTACAATTGATTTAGTCCTGAACCATCCTTTTATAGAAGGAAAACGGAAAAGAGAAATATAACTAACTAACTATCTGTCACTAACATACGGAACCTAAGAGTCCTTGTCTAATGACCCATCTACCCTTACTTAAGTTACATGTATTATGATTACATAACAGAGGCTTTCTGATCCAATGAATGGATAGAGGGAGACCAAGAAGAACACTTAAGGAGGCTATCAAATGGGATCTCTTGGTGAATGATATATCAAAAGAGTTTGTTGTTGATAGAAACCAATGGCATTGTGTGATTTGTGTGGCCAGTGGGGCCAACCTCACTTAGCGGATTTGGCTCATTGCCGCTGTTGTCCCTGTGAAGGTTTTCAGATCCAAAAAGGCATTGTTGTATCTCGTATAAAGTACATTTTGGATTTACTTGGGGAAATGGGAATGGAAAGTTGCGATTTGGTAGACATTCCTAACTACAACGTCGAATGGAAAATTGAAAATGCTCCAATGGACATTGGGATGCATTATTGCAGGTTGCTAAATAAATTTACCACTCGTATACTTGACTTGTCATCAACTTTTTAGTAAGTGGGTGAACTAATTTATGAACAAGACAAATCTAGAACGTGCAGATGCTGTTTACTAAATCATAGATGTTTGAAAATGACCCTTGGCGAGGGTATTCACTTTATGTCAGTTCAGTTACTGATAGGAGATCAACCTAGTTATTGCATATTTTTATGTTGGGATCAAGTAAGGTGGAGAAGTGAAAAAACAATCTGTTGTGTTTACGAGTAGTACTGAAGAGGATTTTAGGGCCCTTTTCACAAGGTGTTTGTATAAGAATTTGGTTGATAAGACTTCTTGGAGAACTTGGAATCACTGTGGAAGTACATATTGGTATCATGGCAACATTTCTGCTATCAATATTGCGATAAAACCTATTCGTTATGACCAGACAACATGTGGAGATTGATTGCCTTTTTATCAAAAATTACAAAAAATAAACAAAGTTGGAATCCGGGGTCAATGAAATGGTTGATATGTGTAATTAATTTAGATAGTTGATAGGTGTTTTTTCTTGTAATAATAACTAGTGATTCACAGTTAGCTTCACTTGTTATTATATCCACTATAAATAAGCATATGTGCCCTTATTTGAAATTAGATCAGTGCATTCTCCTCAAAGCTTCGAAATTCTTACTATGTATAAGAAATTATTTGGATGATTTTGATAATTTGTGTGATACAGGTAGAAAGGGAGTTCAAGGGGCACAACCTGGGCCAACTCTTGACTGGATGCAGCGAGTTAGAATTGCAGTAGATGCAGCAAAAGGATTGGAATATTTGCATGAGAAAGTTCAACCATCGATTATACATAGAGATATCAGATCGAGCAATGTACTTATTTTTGAAGATTACAAAGCAAAGATAGCTGATTTTAACCTTTCCAATCAGGCCCCTGACATGGCTGCACGCCTTCATTCTACTCGAGTTTTGGGAACATTTGGTTATCATGCCCCAGAGTAAATTACTAAACCCGCAAGATTTTTCTTTTATATGAGTATTGCCAGCATGTCATTGGATTCCTGGATGTGTGCGATGTATTAAAAGAACAAATTGTTAGGTGTTTTAGTACCATGTGTCTATTACTATATTGTGGTCTATTTTGTTTTATGGGTTCTTAGCACCTGTTGTCCTGTCAAAATTACAGATATGCAATGACTGGCCAATTGACACAAAAAAGTGATGTCTACAGTTTTGGTGTTGTTCTTCTTGAGCTTCTCACAGGAAGAAAACCTGTTGATCATACAATGCCTCGTGGACAGCAAAGTCTTGTTACATGGGTGAGTGAACTTCCAGAACATATATCCCATCTTTTTTCTCTTCATATTCTCATAACCATAAACTCATTGGACTTGGCTTATTGAAAGTTTAATTCATATTTTAAACTTGGGTAAAAAAGTCATTTGTTAAACAAAATGAGCTTGATCAGCATATCATTATGTATAATTTAGTTCGACAAGCTAACCTTGAAGGTTTTATCCTTGCCTTAAGTTCTCAGATTGTTTGACTATTGATAAAGTATTATTTATTTGTATTTTTGCGTGTCTGTGTATGCATGTATGTATGATATAAAAGAATTTTTGATATATACATACACATGAATCACGCAAGCGGTCATAATTTGTTACTTTGTTATTAATTCAATGGGAAAATTAATCTCTTTATCCATGTAGTTTTGACTCGATTGTAATTCTGTCCTTAAACTTCAACCCAGTGTAACTCAGTTTCTATAATCTTGACTTGATTGTAACTTATTCCCTAAACTTTGATTTGATACTACTTAGTCCTTATAATTTAGCTATTTAAAATATTAGTCCTCATATTTTAGAAAATAAAATTATATATTTCATGAAACTTAAGGAATGAAGCTTTAAATGGTTAAAACTATAAGAACTGAGTAGTAGTGAGTTTCAAAACCGAGTTTTAACCAAGTCAAAACTATGAGAACTGAATTGTACAAATTAAAATTTAAGGACTAAGCTACAATTGAGTTAAAATTAAAGACTAATAGATTTATTTTCCTAATTTAATTTTTACGGTGTGCATGCAAGTAAGTATCTGTTATATTTATAATGTTACACGAGTTTTACTTGTTAATAAATGAAGCTAATGTTATTAATGAAAGCCTGGGTTTCCTGAACTTTTAAATGAACATGTTTGAGCATACTAAAGCTTGTCTTTGATTAGCCCCTTTTTCTCCGAAAACGGGGAAAGAAGGAAGCCACTTCGCTGTTATATTTGTTGGTAGTTTTGAGTCTGATGTCCTAGTGTTGACGAAGACATTTTTCTGCAGGCTACGCCAAGACTTAGTGAAGATAAAGTTAAACAATGTGTAGACCCCAAATTGAAGGGTGAATATCCCCCCAAAGGGGTTGCTAAGGTCTCTCTCTCTCTCACACAAACCCTGGCTTCTATCTGTTGGTAAAGAGTTGACCATGCTTATTAATTTTGCCTATGCAGCTTGCCGCTGTTGCAGCACTGTGCGTGCAATACGAATCCGAGTTTAGGCCAAATATGAGCATCGTTGTTAAAGCCCTTCAACCACTTCTGAAGCCTCCTGCTCCTGCCCAAGAATCTTGAAGCAAAGAAGCTTTTGCAAATGCCATCTCTCCTCTTGGTGTTCTCTGCTCTTGTGCACAGTTTGATTCCAACTACCTTGTGATTACATCAGATGCTGCAATATATATATATATATATATATATTTTCCATGAGCTTGAATTTTTAGGTTTGGATTGACCTGTTTCACATCTTTGCCAGATTTCCATGTACTTCTCCTAATCATGAACCCAGACGCTTATAGATCCATAATGCCAAGAACAGGTTTGGGTTTTGTGGTAGTATCGTCTCTGAATTTTGATATCCTTTTCATTCAAGGATGATCTACCCCTTCTTTATATCAATTATTATCATGTTGTAATTTTTTTTTTTTTTAAGCCTTTGAGGGATGTTCAATGTCTGCTAGAAGAAGCCGGCACTATTCTGGCATCATTGGTCGAGTGTTTCATTCCTCCTTCGAAGTGTATATTGCTGACTATTGGGGTCCGTATGTCTGCAATAATCAGAATTTAATAAAATTTTTTGTCCCGCATATGTATATCCATTTAATTTGAGCGTTCTGGATTTTATTTTCTATTTATTTCCAAAATTTTTTATTTTCTATCAAATTGTAATTATTTTATTTTAAATAAAGTAGGATGTCAAGTAACGTTGATTTTTAATTAAAAATTGGGAAAAAATAATTATTAAAGCTAAAGAAAACCAAAAAAAGTGTACAAGTCAGAAATGAAACAATCGGCGTCAGTCGTTTATGTTTCCCTTTCTTCAGATGGTTTGTTTAAATTGAAAAGTTGACGTGAAAATGCGATTTTTGATAAAATCACTTTGGTAAACAGGTATATGTAAATACACACTTGTATATAATATTTATTATACTTTTGAAATTATTTTCTAATAATTATTGCCTCCTATTATTTTTATTGAGGGACAAGAGACATTTTTATTCTGGAGTTCATTCCCCCTTAAAATTGAAATATGATGATGGCCTTTAGGGTGGTACAACGTAACACAAAATATACAATGATCACCATGACCACGAATATTCACTTGAGATAAATTAATATTAAGTTAGAATTTCTAATGAAGTAGAATAATTAGGAAGCTTTTTCTCTGAAAAGAATAATTTTCGATTGTTTTGATAAAAATGTCATATATTTTGCTCTTAAAATTATTGGTTAGTTTCTATTTTAAAAAAAAATTATTGATTGACAAAGACTTCAAAAATGGTCTAATGAGATCTCAGATAATTTAGCCCATATTATATCCTAAACATTCCAAAGACACGTGCCCAAAAATTCAAGAAGAGAATATATTCTTGGTTTCTTTGGAATATAAGTACGTGAAGTAAGATTTTAAATTTAAAACCCAAGGTGTTGAGAATATTGGATTTGAAGGCAAATGATTTCTTAGGAGTCTTGAACTAAAGGTGTTGAGAATATTGGATTTGAAGGCATGGAAACACAAAGATACATGCATTTATTGTCTTTGTTTTATGGGAAATAATACCATATAAGAAGGTTTTTTGATTTAATACATCCTCTAGTCGCCTTAGGGTTAAATTACAATAAAATCAAATTAATGCAAAGAGTGGCACAACGTGAGTCATGTTCTCTTGAGGATCCTTTTATTGAGATTCCTAAGTTAACTCAGCATTTAAAAACATGAGTTGACAAGGATAAAAAGATCTTTGGGTTTCAAAACTATCTACTAATACAAATTAAGTAAAGCGCAACGAAATTAAATATTTTTGGTTATAAAGATGGAATAGTTGATGGAAATGGGTTTATGAAATATCAGTGGATATTTTGGAGATTAATTAATGGCTTTCCTTGTTCAATTAAATTGTTGGGAGTTAAAACGCACCAAGTCTTGATGAAAAACCCCAAAATAACATTTGGGTCAAATGTCCTTAATTAGTAGTTACTCCGACTACCATAGTTAATAATCACTCATTAAGGCACCTTTAAAAACCACCTAGTGTGCAATATGAATTGGATTACAGTAAGTTGCTTCTCTTATAAGAATGATATAACAGGCCATTCGGTAGCTTAATTAAATCATAAGTTCTACCAATAACAAGCAGAAATCATAACTCCGCTGAATCACTAGAAATATACATAAAGCATACAAGCTACTCAATCCAAATCCAATCATAATTGTAATCTAAACAGAGAAAATCAAACGGTAACTCAGTCTCAAGCTACAGATAATCATTCCTAAAACAAGGAAATCTTAAAAAACAAATGAGAAAATGGATTAGTTAAATAACTCCTCTAAGCTAGCTCTGGAACTCCAGCCACGCTCTCTACCTCCAAGAGCAATGACCTTAGCCTCTCATGTCTTCAAACCTAGCTGCAATGAACTTGAAGCAATTTAAAGCCATGGAATATAAGCGGATGGGACGGATTTGGAAGGATAACTGGTGGAAAATAACGAGTTGGGGAATACCTGGAGGTGGAACAGGAAGAAATGATGGAAGAATGGAGATGGATATATGAGGGTGTGCGAGAAATGGAGCGTGGAATGTGCGTTTTTATGCTAGGATTCAATGGGTCATCAAATAGGAGTCATGGCTGCTGTCTTTGGGTCAAGGAAGCCCTAAAAATCTGATGCAAAATGGCTCAAAACATTGTGTCACGATTTTTGGTCTTTAAGTGTCATTTCTATAATTATGGATCTTTTCTGTAATTAATTCTGCTTCTCAGCAACAGCACTTCTATGGTCCTCAGCAATCATTTTCAGATTTTGCTCCAATTTCTTCCAAATGCCCTAGAGTATAAATTAAGAAAATGTAATACCTTCATTCCAAAAATCAATTAATCAAACGTAATCAAAAAAAATATGACAATTTTGTCCTTTTTAGCTTTGTTTTCATGCATTCATCTTTAATCCAATTGATAATAAATAATGTATTTTTGGCCCAATTAACATGATAAAATCCCTAATATGACCTGGATTAACATATAAGACTTGAGTTGGATATTTTCCACTTCTTCTTTATGCCAAAAAAGGACGATGAAGCAAATAGATAGTGTCAAGGAAGGATGAAGTAAAGCAAAAATATCTTGAAGAACTATGTAAGAAATAGACATAGCTTGATTTTGTAATTGAATAAACTTGAAGGCATGAAAAAACAATGATACATATATTTACTGTCTTTCTTTTATGGGAATAATAATACCACATTAGAAGGTCCATCCTGTTGATAAAAAAAAAAAGAAAAAAAAAGAAGGTCCATCCTGTAGCATTTGACCTTATAACCCGACTAGTAGTGGCTGGAAGAGCTTTAGAATTGCAAATGTGTCATGAGTCCTATAACATCCTAATTTTCCGATCTTTAAGATTTAAGTAAATTTTTATTAAGATCGAATAGACATGAATTAAATATATATACATAAAAGCAATTAAAATAATTATAATCATAAGTATATGTGTATATCTATAAACATATATATCAATAAATAAATAAAATAATAATGTTGAGACGTCCCATATCGACTAAATGATAGAAAGATGGAACTCTAAGAGCCTATATATAAGTGGTAGTAGAAGAGAGTTAAAAATGAGTTGAATAATTTTCACACAAAACTGAGACAGTATTAGTAAAATGCCGTTTATGTGTTTGTTAACCGTTAGATTGATATGAAATTTGGTTAGCCAGTCGAAGACTTCACACTCGCTCATTTCAATCATTGGATCGCCAATCTGGCCTGTAGGATATGAGTTATTAGGTACACTTTGAACTCGTTTTTCTAGGTTTTGTAGATAAAACTCTAAATAGTAAATTATCATTTATGAATTTGTTCACTGTCGGATCAAGCCAAAATTTAGGGAATCAATTTGTGATATCTAAGATGTTAAATTCAATAGTGGGATCAATAATTAGACTCCTATAGTGAGAATAACTTAACTTATATTATATGTATTTGTTTCAATTCTTTGAGGATAGAACATAGACTTATAAATTGAGAGTTTTCCACCTGGGTTGTGAATTAGGTGATTCTAATGATATAATTTAAAAATTAAAGGATAATCTAAGTTAAAGGAACCTATTAATTGAATATAAATCCTCGTATATATGTTCTTACTCCAAACCTTAGACAATGCCTTTCAAGCTACAATTCTAAGTAACAATTAAAGGTCTTGAAGAGGGAGCTGGAGGTTAGAACTTTGTGAGTAGTTTACTCTAATACTATAGAGCTAACATTTTAATTTCATTGTAGATATAAACCTTATTGCAGTATTTTTTAGGTCGAGTCTTGTTTGTATTTTACTGTTGGCTGGGAAAACAAGTAACTGAATTTCTATTTGTTACATGTCCTAGTATGTGTTGGTGAGTAGTTTTTTTATAACTAAATTCTTTTATATGAAATTTTTATTTTCTTAAACAATCTTTTGAGATACTATTTTTAAGCGAACTGAATAAAGTGAGTTTAAAAATAATTGATCTTTGGAATATGATGCGTGAACTAAAGTTTTAGTGAGTTATATATTCTTGTATATCGTGTATCAATTTGAATGTTTTGAATCATGTGCATTTAGGATGGGTCGTGGAGTAGTTGATCAAACTTATTGAGATTTATATACTTGTCACGTGGTATTGGCCTCCATACAAAGCTCTATAATTGACCATTATTATTGTTTCGCTAGTTTTTCGAGGGATTGTGAAATCCCACTAGTTCTTTGAGAGGAGATTCATAGTCTACTAAGTGATCTATGCTCTTTGGTCGATCCACATAACTCGTGGAGCCAGTCAAATGGAAAGAACTTAGCCCATAGATTCAGTCGATGGAAATAAGGAGGATATAAGGATGGATTTGGGTTCATAGATTGCATATGACATAGAATCTTCATTTGATATTTGTAACTTTTCAATAAATGAAAAATATGTTATCTCTTATGATATTATCAGTTGCATGAGGCTGGCAGAAATATTTGATTTGTATAGTTATTGTGAGTTTAACTATTAAATAAATGTTTATCGACTATTGTTAACTCTGTATATCATACTCGACACCTCGCTAGCCCATGCTATTATATGTGATAGGTAAGAATTTAGTTATTAAGATGTGGTCTCACCCCTATTATTTAACTTTAGGTGAAAGCTTTATAGGAGAGACATTAGGAAAGGCTCAGGAGGAGTAAAGCTACAATAATGACTTGTAGCACTTTCTCAATCTATGGGTTATGTTGTTTTCTATATATTGCCACCCTAGGACAATTATATTTTTGTGTCCTTTTATTTGTTTCGTTGTGTACAAACCCTAGAATATTCCCTTAATTTTTATATGAAAATTGGGCTTAAATCCAATTTAATTGTGGGGCCAGAATTTAGCGTGAATTTTGGGCCTTTCTTGGGCCAATGTGGGGCCCACTTTTGATCTAGAAAGTTTCAAGAATTTAGCCCAACAATAAAATATTAATTTCAAACAATATTGAAGCTTATCAGTTGCTATTCACTCGTAACTTTTCATAATTTTTTTAGATCTCCAAAACCACATTTTTGTCCATGAAAAATCCTCATTTAATATAAGAATATGATTTGAAAA